AACGAATGTATGATAGCTTCTGGAGGCAGTTTGAACACTCTGAGAAGGTATGGCTTGCACGTGTGCCGAGGGACAGGAGTGGTAGATCCGTTTGCCACGCCAACAGCCACAGCTACCCAGCCGGCATTTACGCTTTAGCTGATGTTACCGGGATCCTGCTCGCGTTCCGTAAATCCATTAGGAGGCACGGGACTTCCCAGGCTGAACAAATTTTTCTTCTCCTACCACGCGTTTGCTGGCTAACAGCTACCGTGGACCGCGCGAGCTCTGAACTGTCCGGGGGAGGTTGGACGCGTAAATGGCACGGCTTCGCCTCCACTGCAGCTTTCCCCTCTGCTGTGGCCCAGAGGGGCAGGGATCCATCCCTTGGCCCCAGACCCAGGGCAGCTTGCCTGCTGGCCCAAGGTCTTTGCTGTCCTATGGTCATTTTTAGTGCAAATGGCCCCAAAACAGTCACTTCCTCTTGAAGCCTAAAGTCCCGATGCCAGGGGGTTACAGTTTGAATTGCACCTCCCAGTAGTATTTTCTGCTGTTAACTCTCACCTATCGGGTTCATGCCCTCCAGTTTTTCTTTGGAAAAATATTTCTGGGCCTCTCTTAAAATGAATGCTGAAACATAAACGTGCCTTCATTGGTGTTTGTATCAGCAGAGGCTCTATTTCTCACTGAACTCCTTGTGAAAATAGTCTAGAGATACCCCCTTATAACAGGGGTGGTGATTTAAGGTTGTTCAAGTAAAAAATGACGACGTCTGGTTTGGTTAGACTAACTGATAGAGACGAGCTGAAGCACACAGATCCTTCTCTAAAGCCCAAACCCTTGCATCTCCATAGCCATCAAAATCCAAGGATCATACACGTATGTGTCACCAAACGCAGTTGCTGTCCATCCTCATGGAAATTGTGCGAATGAAACCACAGACAGCTGGCACGGCACGTGCCAGAACAAACTGACAGCCGGCTTGCTGTCAGCGAGAGAATACTTCTCACCCCCTCCCCCACGTGGTTTCTGATCTCCTCCTCAAAGAAGTACAGTAAAGACAGTGAGGAGATGAGCTGGGGAATGAAAATTCTTACCTCCGGTAGCTACTGAGCACCTCTGTCTCGGCAAAGATAGCATTTCTATGGCATGTTACAATTTTTCCTATGCCTCGCTTCAGCTACCTGCTCCGTGTTGTTCAGGTGATAATTACCTGGGGGTCTCTCTCTGTCCCACAGGGGCAAACCACCTCACCAGCTCTTCCTTTGCTCCCAACCCCCCCCCCCCGCTCAGCAGGCACCAACCACCCTTTTGCCTTTATCCATCTGATTAACTTAATCGAGCTAAATCTGAGCAATTACCTTCAAGCTTGCACAGAGCCTGCTGCCGAAGAAGGGCTCCTGCGCTTGAAAGCCTGTCTGTTTTTTCCAGTGAAACCAGTTGGTCCTCTAAAGGAGGACTGCCTCTTCCTAGGAACTTGGCCCCGCTCGGGTGTACCGGTGAGCCGTCGCGGCGCTGCGGTGCTACGCAGGGTGCTCGTGCTGTCTGCCCTCCCTCAGCGAGCTTCACGGGCAGAACTCGCAGTGGCTGGGGCCGTGCCCTCCCGTCCTGTCCCCCCCTTGCCCACGGGCCCCACAGGCTCCCCATCACTGGAGTCCCTTACCCCGAGGGCACTGTTGTAAGGGCAACTTCTTTTCTCTCCCGAAGGTCCATGTGAATTTGCTTCTGGTAGAAGCTCGGATGCAAGCCGAACTACTTTATGCTCTGAGAGCTATTACTCGCTATATGACCTGATGTCTCCGGCCGCCTGTCGACGTTGGAATGTTCTGCAGCTGCGGTGTGGCAGAGGAAGATACGAAGCCTCAGGACCAAGGGTAGCTATAAGTTAAGATGCCCATTGTGCCATAACTCCTTTAGTTTCAGCTATCTCCGTGCTTGGAATATCACCGCTGCCACCCGGCAGCGAGCGCTTGGCAGTTGACAGGGTTGTGCGGAAGTGCTGCCTGCTCACGGTATTTTGGCTTTAGACAGCACGGGACACTCTGTGAACTTGTGGCAATATAGCAAATGATAGATATATAGATCTTGTGTTAAGGCAAATACTGCGGGAGGCGGAGCGTGAGAAGAAGTGGCACTTGATGACATTTGCTTTCCCCACGAGAA